TCAGAAGTCACTGGAGATACCTTTGACTCTCCCCAACATGCTGCTGCTCATCCCACCACCCACATATCCCTCTTCATGGATTCTCTCCCTTCCATCACCATAGCCCTTGGCAGGGTGCCCACCACATCTGGCCTGAGTGACAGCCCAGACTTCCTGCAGTCTCCAGCCTCTGCCACCTCCCCAGTGGCAGTCACTGAAATCCTGCTATGTACATGTTCAACTTTTTCTCATTGCTCTCTGGAGAAGGCCCCCTTGATGGTCCTGCATCCCCAGCCCTTGGCTCCAACAGGCATTGCTTTGAGTTTCAGCATCAGAACGTGCCTGGAAATCTTGGCCTGCTGCAGCCTCGTCCCCTTGCCTTGAAGGTTCCTCTTTCACCCCTTGCAGGTCTGGTTGGTGCACTCATCCTATCTATCTCACCTCCACCAAGTGTCTCCTCTGAGGCTCTCCAAGCCTCAGGATGCCCCACTGAGCACTATGGTTAGTAACCCTTTAAAGGTTCCTCTCTCAGGTCCACCACGAGTTTCCAGTGGATAAAGACCACCTTCACACCCTCACAGGGCTTGACTCACCATAGCAAACTGACTTGCTGTTCTCTGAGGCGAAGTAGATGCCCTTGCCAACACGGCCACCAGAATGTGGCATGATGCGGAGCCCACTGGTGAGGATAGCAGCCACCACGGCCACATTGGTGCCATGCCACAGCAGCCTTCGATTACCCAGCTTGGAGTGGGCCTGGAATCTATCTCCCTGGGTGGGGGGAGGGATGGGAAATAGGAGAGGCCTGCCATGCAAGGACCCAGAAGGTGCCTCTTCTGTTGTTTAGATGGGGTGACCAAGGCCTAGTCCCCTCTGGTCATTCACACCTAGGCTGGCAGAAACTGGTCAGAGTTGCTTAGCCAGCTCACCAAGGGGCAGATAAGCCAAGGTTATCTCTCTAAGGGACAGGGTGGCGATGGGGGAAGGGCTGGGAGACTCTCTTACCTCTTTTTCTCGGTTCACTTTCCAAATGTTTTGCAGAACAGGGCATCTGTGTTTGTTGCCAGTCTGTTTTAAGTAGTTTTGTATCACCTGTGGGAGAGCAGAAGCTGGGTGCCAAGGGTGGGAGACTCCAGGACCCACCCCTCTGATCCCTCGAATCCCAGAGTTCTCCTTGGGTCTTAAGGACACAGGGAGAGGAGGCTGAAGGCCAGGTCTCCTCTGGGCACCTTGAGGGTAGCTGGGCAGAGGAAGAGGGACAGTGTTCTGCGGGGCCCAACCTACCTTGTAATCAGGAGCCTCGGAGTCCAGCAGCTGAAGATGACACTTGAGGAGCTGGTAGTCCTGGTCCAGAGGGTGTGGTACCTCTTTCACTTTCTCCTCCTCCCTAGGGGCTGCCTGCAGGGTCTGGGCCAGCTCGATGTCTGCCAGCACCTAAGATGATAGGCACAGGCAGCTTGTCTGCCCACTGGACCTCCAGCCTCCCGCTCCTCTTCCACATGTCTGTTCCCAAAGCCACCGAACCTGTTGTCCACCTGTCCGTCCCTACCCCCCATCTGTCTGAATTTCCCTTCCCCTGTCCCTCAGCCTGCCCACTGTAGTCCATCCCACTGGACTTTCTCGACTCTTTGACCCCCACATCTCTTTCCCAGTCTGTCCGTTGGTGTCTCTCTCCTGCCTGCCCACCTGCTAACCCTCACCAGCAGCATGTCCTTCTTCGCCTGAAGAAGCTCAAGGGAGTTGATGGGCGGGGGCCGGATGCGACCGAAGTTGTGTGGGATAACAGTGTAGAAGTGGGAGGACAGTTCCTCTAGGCTTTGGCTACTATCCGTAGGGGCTTTCAAGGCCACCTCCAGTGCCTCCAAGGCCTCAAAACCCCGTGCAATCTGCTGTTTGCTCAATTTTCCCAGGGGCATCTTCTTCAGATCTGGGGGAATGGGAGAATGGGGGGACTCAGCCTGGCAGCCCTGCCATCCCAGGGTTCTGCCACCCTGCATGACCCCTCATCCCTCACCCAGGTTCATGAGGGTCATGGCATTCTTGAACATCTCCTTGCTGAAGATGTTGGTGATGAGTTTCTGGGTTGCAGGGTCCAGGGAGCAGGGTTTCACTTGCTTAGTCACAATCTTCAGTGGGCCTCCATCCACCTGAGGACAGAGGGCCCCGTTAGTCAGGAGCAGCTGCCCTTGGAGCAGGGCATGGCATTAGACAGAGACTGGCCAGACACAGAGGCCAGAGAGGGAGGTTGGTGCCTGAGGTTGCATAGTTGGAAAGTGACAAAGCCCCACAGCTGGTCCAACCAGTCTCCTTCCTCTACCCAGAGCCCACCCACCCATCTCAGCCTCTTTACCTTCGCCTCCAGAGTCTCGTCCTCTCCCTGTACTTCGATAAGCGTGTACTTGCCAGGGTGGGCCACAAAGTGGTCTCGCTCTGCCCAGTTGTTCTTAGTCTTCTCCCGAAATTTCTTCTCAAAGTCCTTTTTGGCATCTTCTAGGCAGGTGAAGTTGTTGATCTTTGACTGGCCCACCTCTCCCTGCAAGTGACAACCTTCAGGGGTGTGTCCACCATAAATGTTTGCTCTCCTCTATGTTAAGCCAGGCCTTGTGCTAAATACCCCTGGAGCCTTGGAGGTGAAGGGAGACAGTCAGCAGCTGTGGCCTTCTGGGGACCCTGGGGAGCATGTGTTTATCAGGAAGAGATGGGGACGAAGGGACACTTACCACCCGGCCCCAGCGGTTCCAGCAGAAAAACTTGCCACCCTCTTCCAGTAGCTGGATGATGTAGAACTTATTGTTGTTTTTTCCAATGTTGGTCTGGTTCAGGGTGCAGTCATAGTCTTCATGCACCTGAGCAGAGGCAAGTGGAGGGGGGTGCTGACTGGGGTTGGATGGGGTGCCTGGTTGAACACCAAGAGGGGTCTGATGAGAACAGGAGTCTGATTGCTTTGGGGCATCAGAGGCAGCCTTGTCCTGGAGCTGGAGGAACCGTGTCTCTGCATTCAGGGATGCTCTTTGAAAACACATGGCTAAGCCCTGGCATGGGGGTGGGGAGTTCTGGAAGGACATAGCTCTGCCCCAGGTAGCAAAGTTCAAGGGGGACATGGCTCTGCCCTGAGGGCTGATTTGAGGGGATATGGGTGAGCCCTTGGAACATGGAAGGAGTCAGAGCCCTTTCTTGAGTGTGGTGGGGGAAGCCTCCTGGAGGTCTGATGGGCAGACATTGACCTCTCTTGACCTAATGGGATACAGTCCTGACCTCTGTGGTCTTGGTAAAATGTAGCTTTGCTCTGAAACTTACTTGGGCCTTGAGTTACCTGGCCAGAGCTCAGCTCCCAAGGAGGAGGGGTGTAATTGTATTTAGAAGGGAGCAGGCTCCAGTTGACTAGGGATGTAGCTCACCTGGGTCCCGGCGTTGCTGCTGAGTGGACAAGTGGGGTCCACTCGGATTATACGCTTCTCTTTGGGTGCAGCCCTGAGGGCCTCAGCCACGGAGCAGAAGTTGTCTTCCTCTCCTGTCCCTTGACGTCCCTTCTTCTTGGGACTCTCAGGCTGCTCCACAGCCTTTCGTTTTGGAGCCATGGTTGTCTTGGAGCACAGGAGGTCTTTAGGCTTCCATGGTCTCTGTCCGCTACCCAACCTCACAGCACAGACTGGCCCACCATGACCTCCCCACTACCTATATTTCTAGTCTGGACCCAAACCAGCTCTCTGGGACTCACACATGCCCCTTCCTTCAGTTATAAGAACAAGGTCAGGACTTGTCCAGTTTGCTTGCTCTGGCTAAGGAACAGGTTGGTTTCCTACTCTCTCTAGTTCTTCAGTATGTCCTGAGGTTGTACAGAAAGTGAAAGGAGAATCTCCCCCTCCCACTTGTGGGCTCCACCCTGTTCAGAACACTCCTTTCTGTCAGCAGGCTAGACTTGGCATGGTTGCTGGGCTGAGTCACTGAGCTATGGGGGAGGGTGGGCAGCGGCAGCTGGAGGATGGACAGCACTCCTTGGATCAAACCTCTCTCTAGAGCTTGGGCCCCATAGATGCAGAAGCCTTTTCTTAAGATACTTAAAGAATTCTGGGCTGGGTACAGCGGCGAACACCTGTAGTCCCAGCAGCTCTGGAGAGGCTGAGGCAGGAGAATCATAAGTTCAAAGCCAGCCTCGGCAAAGAGCAAGGCACTAAGCAACTCAGTGAGACCCTGTCTCTAAATAAAATACAAAATAGGACTGGTTGAGTGTCCCTGGGTTCAATCCCCAGTACCAAAAAAAAAAAAAAAAGAGTTCTGGGGTGCCCTCCAAAGTCTAGATCAGTGGCTCTGAATTACCAAGGATCAGGGGCCAGTTCTACCCACACTGTCCTGCCCTACCCTGCAGAGGATACTCACCGAATACAAACAGGAACCTGGGAGAAGTGGCTGCCACCAAGCAGTTCACTTTGTGAACTTCCCTCGGCAGTCTCAGCAACCCTCTGTGGACCTTAGGTTTGACGTATGGAGGGACTTCCCAGCAATCACCAGGAAGGGGAGAAGTAGGCTGGTGTACAATTCCAGGGCCACCAGTGGTATGAGTCAGAGGCTGGGCAGGCTGAAGTCGGTGGCCTGTCCCACGGATGAGGGGGACACTGACATGGACCCATCCAAGGCCCAAGAGACTGGCACGCTCTTAACGCTGCTCGTCCAGCCTGGGGCATGCAGCACATATCGACCAGTTTGACCAGTGTCTTGGTCCGGGGTATGGGCAATGCCTTCCACCGCCTGGACAGCCCCCTGTTTTCTAGAGCCAAGCTCATTCACTCTTGCCTCCACACTCGAAGGGGAGGAGTCACGCAGAAACCCGCATCTCTGGCGCCCCCCAGCGACCACGGGGCGCAAGCGCAGAGGAGGCCTTCTTGGCCCAACCCCTCCCTATAAATCAGGCAGCAGCAGAGCGCAAGCGCCACAGCCGCTGGCCGGAAGCGCCGGGAGAGTTGCTTCCTGCGGTAGCCCAGCGCCGGAACCTGTGGAGTCTCTGGGAGGCGTAGCCACGAGCCTCTGTCCTATGGACATTTGGGGGCGTGACAGAACCCTCGGGTGGACCCAATGAAGTTGCGGGAGGCGGGACTCGACGGGCGGCAGAAACCTGTCATGGCGCGGGGACTTGCCGAGCAGCCGAGGGTTTAGTTGCCACGTGAACTTTCCAGCAGCGTCTGCAACTCTTTGCAGCATGTCGGCCACCGCGGCAGCTCGTAAGCCTGGGAAGCAGGCCTCCCGGGCCGGGGCCGCTGCAGAGCCCAGCAAGCGGCGACGAAAGGTGATCATGGGGTTTCCGTGGGTCGTGGTCAGTCTTACTTCTGAGACACGGATCATGCATTCGAAGGACCCGAACCAGACTCCTTCCCCAGCCTTTAGCCTAAGACCCCAGCTGGAGCCAGCTTCGTCCCCTTCTCTGTTAGCCAAATCCCGGAAAGCCTTGCGCTTGACCCAGGCCAGGAGCTGCAGCCTTTCGCAGTCCTGGGACTCTTGAGGGCCCACAGGGGCTCTTGGTCAGTGCAGGGTGGCGAGAGACCTCTGGCCAAAGAAATGGTCCTATCTTCTAGGCCGACTCTGCGGGGAACAGGAAGAAGCTCAAGGATGGCGGCAAGATGAATGAGGAGATCTCTAGCGACTCTGAGGCTGAGAGGTAAGCTGTTCTTAGTGGAAAGGGAAACAGGCTTATCCTGAATGGAAGACTCAGTGAATCCGGGCAGAGCTGGGCCGAGGACCCACGACTTCAGGCCATGGCTTTTAGATCGTAGCTTTTCCCTCTATAATTTTGGCCCTGAGACGTCTCACCTCTACTGCGGTACCTCTGTGCAGAGACCCCAATGGGATACCATTGAGAACTCCTGGGCTCAAGACAGGGCGCTAAGCACAGGGCTGGACTGACAGGCAAAGGGAGAAGAATTCAAGGCAAACTTGTTAGTTCGCTGTTTTCTCACAGCATTATAATTACTGGTCTTTATTCTTTTGATTTAAGATGGGTTTCACTATGTTGCTCAGGGAGGCTTCAACCTACTGGGCTCAAGTGATCCTCCTGCCTCGGTATCCTGGATAGCTGGGACTATTGGCACGTTGTGCTCTCCCACAAGTCTTTTTGACATGCTAGGCAGTGGCTTCAATGAGAGCAGGCAGGTGAAGAGAATGTGTTCTAGTGAGACATACATACATCTTCCAGTGGTGTGTAAATAGGGCCTGAGAGATGAGGAGGAGTTTTATGGAGACATAGGGAGGGCATTCAGGGATCAGAAGAAAGTCGGGGAGGGTCAGTGTGCCAGAATGGGAGGGGAAAAAATGGAAAGGCAGGTGGTGGGTGCATTCAGAATGTGGAGGGCTTTGAATGCTTCCCTCATTTCTCTGGGTGATGGGGTGGTAGCAGGGTCTCAAAGAGCAGGCAAGGCATTTTTTCCTACTACATGGAGGCTTTCATTTCAGGGAATCCTAGTGCCTTCCTATGAGTTTGATACAGAAATTCTGCTTCTAAAATTGAGTATGTGTTGCATTAAGTTGCCCACAGAAAGACTTAATATGTTTTCTTAGTCCTAAGATTAGTGTTAGTGTACATGTGTGTACAAGTGCAAGTGTGTATGTATACATCAGGCCCTGTGCTAAGCACTTGTAAGTACTTAAAATGTTTTATTATGAAATGCATCATCTACAAAGAGTGAATGGACTATATGGCTGGGGAGGTAGCTCGGTTGCAAAGCACTTACCAAGCATGCACAAAGTCCTGGGTTTGAGTACCAGCACTGCAAAACAAAAACAAAAGCATATTTGTATATGAAAAGTAAAGATAAAATGGTGAACCTCTGCTCACATTCCACTTAGGTTAAGAACTAGAACTATTATTCCTGATTCCAGTTAATCATTTCTTTGGTTTCTTTCTTTCTTCTTTTTTTGGCAGTACTGGGGATTGAGCCCAGGGCCTCACGCTTGATGGACAGATACTCTTTCACTGAGCTACATCCCTACACCTTTCTTAATTTTATTTAAGGCAGGGTCTCACTAAGTTGCCCAGGTTGACTTTGAACTTGCCATCCTCCTACATTAGCTTTCTGAGTAGCTGGGACTACAGGAGTGGCCATTATGTGTAGCTTACGAATCTTTTAAAAGGCCTGGCACAGTGGTGCATGCCTATAATCCCAGTGACTTTGTAGGCTGAGGCAGGTGGATTGCAAGTTTGAAGCCAGCCTCAGCAACTTAGTGAGGTCCTGAACAACTTAGCAAGACCCTGTCTCAAAAAAAAAAAAAAAAAAAAGTTGGGGATGTAGTTCAGTGGTAGGGCACCCCGGGATTCAATTCCCAGTATCAAAAGAAAAAATAATCTTCAAAAATTTTTTTCTCATTCAGCTATAATTTATATACTGTGACATTCAACTTTTTTAGTTTATAGTTCTGTAAATTCTGACAAGCACAGAGTTGTATAGCTACTATCACTATGAAGAAATAGAAGGTCTCCTCAACCCCATCAAACTCCTGCTGCTACCATCCCCCAGCCCTGACAACCACTGTCTCTAAGTTGCCCTTTCCAGAATGCCTTATGAATGGAATCACATAGTGCATATGCCCTTGCTTTCCTTTAGAGTTCTATCTCCTGTGTATTAATCCTTAAACAACAATTGATTGTTAAATAGAAGCTCAATTCTGGATGTGTAAGGAAGGGGCCTGGTCTGGCCTTGGCTTTCCTGAGGGTGAGGTCACGAGTGAGTCCTAGGAAACACAATTTGAGTACCTGACAGAGACTCGGTATCTGCAGGTATATGATTACAAGGGATGAGTTCCTCTGGATTTTCTGTTTTGGAGTTCCTGTGACCTAACTTCATCTCCCAGGAGCAGGTCAAAGCAGGACCCATCTTTGAATGAAATGAATGCCTTCAGTTCAGTTGGTTCAGGGTCTGGAGCTTAGGAGGGACAGCGGGAACTTGATCAGCACAAGACCAAGTCAGATCCAGTTAGTATTCACCAGAGGTTGTGCTCATGGTGCAGGATGGTGTCATGGCAGTGAGTCTAGGGTAATGACAATTCCTGTGTGTCTGCTTGGGTCCTTGTGTCAGATTGGACTGGTTTCTCCCCATGTTTGGGGTGATTGTCACCTTGGGAATCTGCCTTTTCTGTTCTCTGTGTTGATCTGTTGTTTCTCGTACACCATGTCATCATCCTTCTTAGATTACCCTCTTGTTTGGGAAGTGCATTCTTTACCCTTCCTAAAAAAGGGAGAAAGATTCTATGTCCTGTTGTTCATCTGACAATGTTTTTGAACCTAGATAGCCTTGTACATGCCAGACAAGAGTCCTATACAACTTAGCTACACTTCCAGCCCTTTTAATTTTTTCCTTTGAGTCAAGATATGACTAAATTGTCAAGGCTGGATTTGCAACTTGCCCCCGCCCCCTTTTTTTTAAGTACTGGGGATTGAACCTAGGGACACTTAACTACATCCCCCACATCCCCAGCCCTTTTTATTTTCTGTTTTGAGATAGGGTCTCATTAAGTTGCTTAGGACCATGCTAAGTTGCTGAGGCTGTCCTTGACCTTGCAATCCTCCTGCCTCAGCCTCTCAAATTGCTGGGATTATAGGTATGTGCTACTGCACCTGGCTCCTGGCGATATCCTGATTTGTCAATTGGTGCCTTAACTGGGCAGGGGATCCCAGGGGTTGGCTCACCCTCCCTTCCTTCCTTCCTTCCTTCCTTCCTTCCTTCCTTCCTTCCTTCCTTCCTTCCTTCCTTCCTTCCTTCCTTTTGAACCCAAGGCTATGCACATGCTAAGTAAATGCTTTATCATTACAACCCTTTTTAAAATTTTTGAGACAGGGTCTTGCTAAGTTATCCAGGCTGTGTCTTTGCTCAGCCTCCCAAGTAGTTGGGATTATGGATGTGTACCACTGTGCCCAGTCAGGGACTGACATTTTCATTCTGAGCTTTGTGTATAAGTCTCCTTTGTCTTGTTCTCAACATTGCTGTTGAAATGTCTGAAGCCATTTTTGATTTCTTGACCCTTTCTCTTGGAAGCCTATAGAACCTTCTCTTTCCCTAGAGTTGAGAGATTTGAGTGATCTCTTTGGATTTTGGATAATTTTACCTTTGCAGGGCCCTATGTATTTTAGTTTGGTAAGTCATATTCTTCAGTTTTTAGCATGTGTAGTTGCTGGTCCTGAGGGCTTCTAGGGATGTGGAAGGTTAAATGGCAGGAGAGCATTAAGAAGGCACAGTCGTAGTGACCAGAAGAGTGATGTGAGCTCTTCAGACCCAGCCTCCTCTGCCCACAGCCCAGCTCAAGGGAAGATTGAGGAGGAAGAAGAGGAGGAGCTGGAGGAGACTGTGCAAGAGAAGAAGCTGCGCTTGGCCAAACTCTACCTTGAGCAGCTCAGGCAGCAAGGTGAGCCATGGGCAGGCCAGCCAAAGGCCAGGGACTCTGCTGAAGCCTTCCTCCTGTCCCTGCTAGAGCCTCAGCTACCTGACATGCGACTGACACAGTTGCTCAGTGGCTGCCAAGGCTTGCCGGTGTTGGCTGCCTTGTGAGCGTGGCTGAGAGCTCCAGTGGTCCTCCAGGGGCAGGCTAGACCTGCAGGGGGCTTTAGACCGATCTGATAAGTTAGGAGGAGATTGTCCAAACTTGCATCCACTCTGTGGAGGTGGACCGAACTTCCCACTGGACATAGACCAAGCAAGCATTTAGGGCCCAGCCCTGGAGTGGAGCTGTGGAGGTGGAAATTGAAAGGGAAAAGAAGGACCTTAGCCCTGGTTTATGTGAATCGATCTGTCCTGCACAGAGGAGGAGAAGGCTGAGGCTCGTGAATTTGAGGAGGACCAGGTGGCAGGACGCCTGAAAGAGGATGTGGTGAGTGTGGAGGGAAGGTGAGTTCTGGGGGAGGTTGGTCCTGCTCCCAGGACCTCAATCCTCTCTTTTTTTTCCATACAGCTTGAGCAGAGAGGCCAGTTGCAGAAGTCAGTTGCAAAGGAGGTAAGAGGGCAGGGCACTTTGCTATGAGGTTAGAGGGAATCACTTGTTCTACCTAGATTAGCAGGCAGATGGTCCAGTGGGGCTCAGGTTGTGGGGTTCTTTGTTCTGAGACACAGTGTATACCTGGGCAGATATGGTTTGGTAAGGTTCTTATCCTTGGCAGCCATTGGTCTTGTTTTCCTTTTGGCCAATGTGGGTGGGAATGGATGGTGTTGGGGGTGGGTCTCATAATGCCCCTGACTGCAGTGACCCAGCATCTTGCCTGCCCAGATCCAGGCCCCAGCCCCGGACGACATTCGAGTTTTACGGGGCCACCAGCTGTCCATCACGTGTTTGGTCATCACTCCTGATGACTTGGCCATATTCTCCGCCGCCAAAGACTGCACAATCATTAAGTGTGAGTGAGATCCTGGATAGGATGTAGCCCCTGGGGATAGCCTGGAGAGCAGATTTGGGGAGAGGGAGCCATCATGGCAAACTGAGCTCAGATGGGGGAAGTCTTCAGGTTTTCTATCAAAGAGGAGCTTTCTGGGTAATAGCAGTTGCTTTTGCTCAGCAGTTGGGCTTATGAGCTCTGTGGAACTGGAGACCATTAAGTAAAGAAAGGACAGTGACTTAACAGGAATGAAGCTGCAGGTGGGTGGTTGAACTGGAAGATGTTTGAGGTTCTGCACAAACTAGGATTGAGTCTCTAGTCCTTCTGGGTTCCCAGCTATCAACAGCTGAGCACAGTCCTCATCCACCCACAGTAATCACAGGAAGAACTCAATACCTTCAGTCCCAAAATACTTAAAATTTTATTTTAGTTTTTTGCAATTCTGGGGATCAAACCCAGGGTCTTGTGCATGGTTTGCAAGCTCTTCCACTGATCTATTCCACCAGTCCCCAGAGCACTTTTGCATCCCTTCTCTTTTGGGGGCTTCATGGTGTTGTTTGGGACTACTACCCCCAGTTAACTGGAAACTGATGTGACTTGTCCAGAGGTTCACAGTAGCTGAACTAGGTACTTTGACTCGAGTTCCCTTTTTCCTTGCTACCCCTTGAGGGGGTTGTCAGTCTGTCTTGTCTCCCATCCCAATATCCTCTGTCCTCTTCTGGTGATAGGGAGTGTGGAGAGTGGACAGAAACTGCATGTGATCCCACGTGTCAAGAAGGATACTGAGGGCCAGCCTCCTGGCCATTGCACCCACATACTCTGCATGGCCATCTCTTCTGACGGCAAGTATCTTGTAAGACTGGGTTGACCCTGGGGCAGGTAGGAGTCTGGGTATGTAGTGCATGCCTGTAGCCATGGTTCTCATCCCTGCAGGCCTCGGGCGACCGCAGTAAGCTCATTCTCATTTGGGAGGCTGAGAGCTGCCAGCACCTATATACCTTCACAGGACACCGGGATGCTGTGTCGGTGAGGAGCTGGGCCTTCCTGGATGTTTAGCAGGCACCTGTGGAGTAGGCCTGGCACTGAGCTAGGGGTCTGCTGTCCTTAGGGAACCTGTACTCTGGGGTAGTTGAGTGGTGTGTAAAGGACAAAAATGGGCTGATGGCATGGGGAGTTGCTAAGGGAGACCAAGTTCAGCTTGCACAGGGTCAGGTCAGAGAAGCCTTAAGAACTCTATCTGCTTAAGGGTACATAGGCATGCTTCTGGCTTATACAAAGCCTCATGGAGGGACCTCACAGAGTGTTCTTGGAAAAGCTGGCTCCCTGTGTTATGTGACTTGCTTTCAGGAAGTCCTCCCTAAGCTCGACCTCTGACTTCTGCTATAGTCCAGGTCCCCTTTTACCTTCTCTCCATGGAACCTTAGGGGCTGGCATTCCGCAAAGGCACCCACCAGCTTTATAGCACATCCCATGACCGCTCTGTGAAGGTGTGGAATGTGGCAGAGAACTCCTATGTGGAGACACTGTGAGTATCCTCAGGCAGAGGGTGCATGGATACAGGTGTGTGGGTTCATTTGTGACCCCATCCCACTCTATTCTGCCCTCAAGCTTTGGGCACCAGGATGCTGTGGCTGCACTGGATGCTCTGAGCCGGGAGTGCTGTGTGACAGCTGGTGGCCGGGATGGGACTGTGCGTGTATGGAAGATCCCTGAGGAGTCTCAGCTTGTCTTCTATGGCCATCAGTAAGGCATCCATCATGCCAGATGGGAGGGCTCCATGAATGGGGTGTGGATCTGGGCCATGCCTCTAACAGCCCCTTTCTCTAGGGGTTCCATTGACTGTATCCATCTCATCAATGAGGGGCACATGGTGTCAGGTGCAGATGATGGGTAAGAGCTGCCTTTTTTTAAGTGCATCAGTTATACATAATGGTGAGGTTTACTTTGGCATATTTATAAATGCATATAATATAATTTTTTCCATTTAAGTCCCCCTTCCTTTTTTCCTTCTTCTCCCTAGTCCCCTGCTGCCTTTTTTTGGGGGAGGGTGCCGGGGGAGGTGTTGTCAGGGATTGAATTTGGCACTCGACTACAATGAGCCACATCCCCAGCCCTATTTTGTGTTTTATTTAGAGACAGAGTCTCACTGAGTTGCTTAGTGCCTCGCCATTGCTGAGGCTGGCTTTAAACTCACAATACTCCTGCCTCAGCCTCCTGAGCTGCTGAGACTATATTGCATGCGCCACCGTACCTGATCCTGTTGCTGCCTTTTTGATGCTTCTGATTACTGTCTGTGACTGGGCCCTGAACTTGCCTGGTGACTACCCTTTATAGAGGAGGTGTAATCGTTTTCATAGGTGCTAGTGACTTGTTTACACCTCACAGCTATTGGGTGTGCACTTGATTCTTACCTGCTCTGTGCCTTTCTCTCCTGCCCCACCCCCTCATTGCATGCCCCGTTTACAGCTCTGTGGCCTTATGGAGCCTCTCTAAGAAGCGGCCACTTGTCCTACATCGTGAAGCTCATGGACTGCAGGGGATGCCAGGCCTGGAGCAGCCCTTCTGGGTGTCATCAGTGGCAGCCTTACTTAACACGGACCTGGTGGCCACAGGTGGGGACCCTGTGAGGTGGAGAGTGGGGTGGGTCCAGGGAGGCTGCTACAGGGTTTGCTCACTGTCTGTTTATTCCTCAGGCTCCCACAATAACTGTGTGAAGCTTTGGCAATGCGGGGAGGGCTTCCAGCGTCTTGACCCTCTCTTTGACATCCCCCTGGTAAGTGGGACTTGACTGTTTAGCCTGTCTTTGCCACACTCCCTGGGCCCCTGGAGTCCCTGGTCCTTGGAATGTGCTCATTGACTTCTTCCTGACAGAAGCAACCCTTATTAGGGCTATGCCACTTCCTAGCAGTCTTATAGGAACCCTCTCTTCTTTTCTCCTCTGCCCCTTCCCTTCCTCCACTGCTCTCCCTGTCCCAGGACATGTTCTGGGTGTCGGGTACAAGGGCAAAAGCACAAAGGCCTCGTGCTGTGATTGGTTCTGCATGACTGGAGCATGTGGAATTGACCATCTGTGCTGAGCGACCTGAGGGAGAACCACAGGATCTGTCAGTGATGTGCTGAGTGTAGGCCTCGGACAGTGAAGGTGATCCTGGTGTTGCTGATGCCCCACAACCAGGAGCCAGGCCCTAGGCCCTGCTCTTGATGGAATTAGTGTGCACTATCTTCTTAATTCTCCCCAACCCCCTGCCAAACTGGTGCTCTACCTCCCTGTTTCACAGATATGGAGGCCAAGGCCCTGAGGGGTAAAGGGCTGACCAAGTAGGGATTTCATTCTCAAACCTGTGACTGTGATGCTAGGTGTTGTTAGCTCTAATGTTTTAACCATGTTCCTTTTTCTCCTCAGGTGGGTTTTATCAACAGTCTCAAGTTTTCCAGTTCTGGGGACTTCCTGGTAGCTGGAGTAGGACAGGAACACAGGTACATGATGACCCCAAAGGGTTGAGACTGAGGGGTAAGATGGTGCTGGCTGGGCAGTCTGGTGGGGATGGGAGTAAAGACTGGATGGGGGCTGAGTGGTCTCAGCTGTTCTCTGGTTCTCTAGGCTTGGCCGTTGGTGGCGGATCAAAGAGGCACAGAACTCAGTCTGCATCATCCCACTCCGCAGGGTTGCCGGACCCCCAGCCTCCAGCTCCTGATGCTCTCATCTTCCTTATTTAAGTTCTTACCAGGTCCTGCCCCACTTTTTGTATTAAATGCCTCCCTTTGTGTACTTTGTGTCTTGCAGCTTCTGAGAGGGTGAAGCTGACAGGGACTGTGAATTGGCAGAGGCCTGGGGAGGGGCAGAATTCCCATGGGCTCTCAACTCTGTCCTTCTGTTGACCTGAGACCCTTTATTGTTTTCCAAAGAACTCTAGAAGGGGCTTTCAGCTGACTTCTGGCTTCTGGTCCCTGGGTATCCTGTATGACCTCATCAAGCTCACTCCCCACTCTGCTCTGGGCTGGAGCGGGATGAAGCTGCTTATCCTTCAAATGTAATTGACCACCTGATTATGTATAAGGAATGGTGCTGGGGCCTGAAAACTGAAGTGGAGACCACTGGGCTTGCCAGTCAGGCTGACCTACCAGGTCAGGAAGCTGAGATAGGGGTCTTTTGTGGGGGTTGGACCCTGGACTGTTGCCTATTGCCTTAGAACAAGGTCAGAGGTGGAGAGAGCACTGTCCTATCTCCAAATGGCAGAGCCAGGTCACATCACCCATCACAGCAAGAACCCAGCTGGATAAATGTATGAAAGTGATGTTCACTTTCTCTAATTATAATATTAGGTAATTTACTGGGCGAAACTGACAAGGAGTTGGAAAGGCATAGGAGTGCAATGATGGCACCTCCTTTTAGCAGGAAAATGAGAAGGGGGTGTTGAGGAAATCTTTAGCTCTTTGGGCACAACAGCTTCCCCTCTCAAGGGGTGATGTGGTCCCCTCAGGAAAGGAAGCCATAGCTCCTTCCAGCTCCCATGCTCAGGAGGTTTCCCGCCTCACTGATGTGCCTTGCATTTGTCCTGGGGCCAGGGCGGGGGGGTGATGTTTACTTGATCCGGTTTTGGATCAGAAGATATCGGTGGAATTCCTTTTGTTATATATCCTGCCTCAGTTGAGCTCAGCAGTGGCAAATATATCCTCTAAATGACTTGGGAAGCAACATGGAAAAGCTCCTGAGCACATGAACCCTTTCCTATTAGTATACTCCCAGGGAGGAATTACAGTTTGAGATGGAACAGCCCTGTGAAGATAATTTCTCCTGTGGCTTCTATTCTGCTCTGCCTTGCTCTGCTGGGGTTTCCTTGCTGTAGTTGGATTCTTGAGCAGCAGCTGCCATCACCGAACCTTGTGCCTTCAGCCTTTTCCCAGGCCCTTTTTTTCCACTTGCTTTGGCCAAGATCCAGCTATTCCATGAGGATGTGCCTTCCACCCAGCTCTCAGAGGTAGAGGGGATATTCAAAATGTCTCCTGCATCATGTAGTTATTGCTAGGAGACAAGTCATCAAAACTTAGGGTCTTAGCACAGTTATTGCCCATGTGTCTATAGGTCACCTGAGTGCTTCCCTCTGGTCTGAACTGTAGCTCTGGGCTGGAGGCTGTACTGATCTTGTTTAATCTGTATTTGGAGGCTGTCTGGTAGTGGGCCTGTCTAAGCTATAGGCTAGGAAAATTGAACACTGAAAGGTGTTTGATCATTCACCTGCAGGCTAGCTCAGGTTTGTTCACATAGTCTGGAGAAGATTCCAGGACAGTGAGCAGAAACATGGAAGTCATTTAGAGGCCCAAGTGGATGGTGGTATGGCAGATGAGCAAATGTTACTAAGCTACTCTCCTTTCTGCCCAAGAATGGGCCTAGGAGTTATGTCTGAACCTAATCCCTAGTCCTTGTACTAGAACTGGTCACAAGCCTTGACTCTAAAGAAAGAAGCAGTATCCAGAAGGTGAAAGCAGTGGAGCTGACCACCTTTCTAGGATGGTCCTGGGCCTGTGTTCTGGGCTTGATCTTTTTGCAGCCCAGGGGTGTATCCTCTGGTAGCAGTGACAAGGGTTGAGGCCACTTCATGGAGCTGGTGATAATACCTGTCCTGGACACCTGTGGTTTTATCTACCAGGTTTCTTATTTTCATTTTCTTCTGGAGATGGGACCCCAATTTCTCTTGGAAAACTGTCCCTTTGCCCATGTAGCCTGTCTGTCCATACATCCATTCAACAAAACTTGAATTCCTATTCTGGGCCCTGTGGCTACAGAAATGAACCAGAGAAGGTTCCTACATTTAAGAAGCTCACCTCCAGGAGATCATTAAAAAAATGAAACAGGCAAACACATAACATTCAGATGACCAGTGATATGAAGAGTGAAACAAAGTAAAATGACTGGGGCCTCACAGGGGTAGATGCTCTAAGATCTCTGGAGAAGGGATGTCAAGTGAGACCTGAATAATGGTGGATGGGAAGAAAGGGCATCCTCATGCTCAGCCTGACCAAAGGCTCCAAGATAAAAGCAGCAGAGGGGTACCAGTGTGGTGGATGAGATGATGGAAAGATGGGAGAGTGACCTGGGGAGGGCAGGCCAGTTCAGGTGGGAACCTGGGGTCCTGGGAGTCTTGGGATTTTATTCACATATAATGGGACCATGAAAAGATTGAGAGTAAAGTGACTGGATCTGGTTCACATTAAAAAGATAAGGGCCGGGGTTGTGACTCAGCGGTAGAGCGCTTGCCTAGCATGTGCAAGGCCCTGGGTTTGATTCTCAACCACATAAAAATAAATAAAATAAAGGTATCATGTCCAACTACAACTAAAAAAAATATTAAAAAACCCACAAAACAACAACAAAAAAACTTAAAAAA